ACAGCTCCATGGGATGGGACAGGATGGACACACAGCTCCATGGGATGGACACACAGCTCCATGGGATGGACACAGAGCTCCGTGGGATGGGACAGGATAGACACACAGTTCCGTGGGATGGGATGGGATGGGATGGGATGGGATGGGATGGGATGGGATGGGATGGGATGGGATGGGATGGGATGGGATGGGATGGGATGGAGTGGGATGGGATGGAGTGGGATGGACACACAGCTCAATGGGATGGCACAGGATGGACACACAGCTCCATGGGTTGAGATGAGATGGACACACAGCTCTGCAGGATGGACACACAGCTCCATGAGATGGAATGGGATGGACACAGCTCTGTGGGATGAGATTGGATGGACACACAGCTCTATGAGGTGAGATGGGTTGGACACACAGCTCCATGGGATGAAATGGGATGGACACACAGCTCCATGGGATGGACACACAGCTCCATGGGACAGGATGGGATGGACACACAGCTCCGTGGGATGGACACACAGCTCCATGAGATGGGACAGACACATCCCAAGGCACAGGGAGAACCAGCTGGAATCATTGCAAGAATCTTTTCTGTCGTTTCTGAAAGGCCACGGTGAAAAAGGAAGTTCCTGAAAAATGAACCTCAGCATCTCACCCATCTTCCAGAGGAAACTCAAGAGGAAGTTTGGGGACTACAAACAAGTCAGCCTCACCTCAGTCTCTGGGAAAGTCCTGGAAAAGGATCCCCATGGAAGGATTTATAGCCATATACAGGAAAAGAAGGTGACTGGGGCAGCCAGCAGGGCTTTGTTAAGGAGACATGCAAGGGAAAGTGTAAAAAAAAGCTTTTTTATTATTTTCCTTTCAATTTTGAGTTCTGTTCTGCCCTTAAATGCATCTCAAGTCCAAGAGGAATGTTTCTGATTGCACTCTCTGGTAGGAAACAGCTCTTGAGAGCCTCTTTAACCTTTGTCAGGGAATTTCAGCTCATTTCCCGCAAATGACAGGATAAGATTGCCCTCGTGTGGCTTACAAGAAAAATAAAGGAACGGAAAAAATAAAATAAAAAATAAAAATTAAAATTTAAAAAAATAAAATAAAATAAAATAAAATAAAATAAAATAAAATAAAATAAAATAAAATAAAATAAAATATGTATTAAATTAAATATTTTGGCAAACTCTGGTTCCTGCGGTCCTTCTCACAGACATTACCCCTTCCATCATCTTATCCTTTTGTATTCATCAAGAGAGCTGCACCTCAGGGAAGACATACAACAGCTGCTGTGATTCCAGAGAGGACAAGTGTCCCTGGAGGGACAGACAAATAAGAGAGGACCAAAAAAAATAAGCAGAAAATAGATATGATTGAGGTAAGGATGAAAACAGTCCTTGGGTTTGTAGGGAGTTGATAAAAGATAAAACAGCCGCCCCATCCCTGAGAGTGTCCAGGGCCAGGTTAGGACGGGGCTTGGAGCAGCCTGGGACAGTGGAAGGTGTCTCTGCCCAGGACAGGGGTAGAACAAGATGGGCTTTAAGGTGTTCCTTTCTACCCACCCATTCTGGGATTCTATGAACTGCAGTAAAGGGTTGATTCAAAGAGAAAAGGTTTCAATAACAGACATGGTGAAGGTTTGGACATTTATGAGGAAATTGCAGAATTTCCCAGGTCTGTCAGGCTTAAGAACGAGTCAGACAAGCACCTCCCAGGAATGACCTGGAAAGAATTGCTTCTGCTTTTATAGAAAATGTAAATCTGTAGTTCAGTGTAAATCTGTGTGGATCAAAAGAGCACACTGACCTATCAATGGATGGATCTACCTATTCATAGATAGATTTGTAGATCACCACAAATCTGGATCAATAGATCTGCAGCTCACCAAATGGGAATCATTAGGTCTTTATCTCACTATTAATCTGCTTGGATCAATAGATTTGCAGCTCACTATGGATCTGTCTGGATCAGATCTGTGGCCCAGCAGCAGTGTGAGCCCCTCTGGTTTCACAGGGACACATCTCCTGTGGCTCCTGGTGGCACTTGCACCCTCTGTTTCTGCCCTTCCACTCCTAACGCACTGAACCTAGAAAGCAAAACCCAGCCACAGAGCTGCAGATTCCAAATGTGAGCTCTGGAGTCAGAGCAGAGGATCCCAGTCCACAGCAGGGGCAGGAATGAGATGGTCTTTAAGGTCCCTTCCAACCCAAATCATTCCATGATTCTGTCTCTGTGTCCGTTATACAAAGAATCACAGAACATCCTGAGCTGGAAGGGACCCACCAGGATCATCCAGTCCCACTCCTGGCCCTGCACAGACACCCCAACAATCCCATCCTGTGCCTGAGAGCATTGTCCAAACACTCCTGGAGCTCTGGCAGCCTCGGGGCCGTGCCCATTCCCTGGGCAGTGCCTGCACCCTCTGGGGGAAGAACCTGATCTCCAGCCTAAACCCCCCTGGCAGAGCTCCAGCCTTCCCTGGGTCCTGTCCCTGGTCACAGAGCAGAGATTGGAGCTGCCCCTCTCCACACTCCAATCTTTAATCTCACTGTACAAATCTCTTCCTTCACTTTCCTCTGCCTTAGGTGCCTCTGTCACCAGCCCAGGGATTTTCTCTCTCCCAAGACTCCTTCTAGCTAGAGGCTCTTCTGATCCTCCCCTGACTTGTGTCCTGGAGAGACCCCTGTGACCCAGGTGTGGGACATGCCCTCCCACAGCAGGGAGGGATGGTGTCCATGGACTGCTGTGACCCACCTGGGGACAGCAGCACAGCTTCTGGAACACCCAGAGAGTATGTCACAGTCCTGTGCAGAGCTTTATCAGGCAATAAACATTAACAATCCCCAGCCCAACTGCCAGAGTGTTGCCGGAATGGATCTGTTATTTTTATGAAGGAGAAGATGAAAGGCTGGTGGGAGAGAAGGCCCCAATATCCTGGATACCACCTGACTGTACACCCATAAAACTTCACCACAAAGGAGAATGTTTTGTACCTGGCCCTGTGTTGGTCTTGAATGACACAGTCTCAGTAACCAGGATCTGCAATTGCCCCTATTTCACACAGAACAAATATCATCCCTGCCATAAACTCCTTGAGGCAGGGCTCCTGTTTCATTTGCATTCATTTGCCCAGGCTGTTTTCCAAGCCAGCTCCTGACATCCTGTACTCACAAACCCCACAAGTGACTCACAAACCCAGAGACAGTCCCTGACTAATTTAACTGAGGGCTCTTTTCTGATGCTGCTTCTCATGGGGAGTTGCAAATCTGGGAGCTCAACAGAGGCAAGGTGGCCACAGGCCCACCAGGCTCAACAACACTGAGTGTGTATCTCCAGTAGCTGCACATGAACCCAGTAGCTGCTCCTGGATCTTCCCCACTGACCCCTCCAGACTCCAAAATCTCTCCAGCATTTGGCCAGAGCCCTCTGAGCCTCTGGTAGTCAAATCCCCTGGTTTTCACACCCTCACACACCTGCAGACTGCTGGCCCCCAGGGCTCTTACCCAGCTGGTCACTCCCTGGGATCACATCCCCACACACCCACACAGCTCCAGCCCCCTGGCACAGCAGCCCTGCAGCCACAGCCCCACTCCAGGGGGCTCTCAGACCTCCCTGCACAGGGAATAAACAGCCCCTGACCCAGGGAAGGATTTAGGAATGGAGGTTAATGAGAAGCCACGTCACAGTGGCTGATCAGGATCAGGATCACACTACCCAGTAAGCTCTTTACACAGCACTGGCCACTCTTGTCCCCTTGGCCGTTTTTTTCTTCCCTGTGTTTGTTTCTCTCCAAATTCCATCAACGCCTCCTTTTCCCCACCTTTGCTTCCTCCCCTGAACATCCTCCAGTAAATCAAATGGGATCCTGAACTTGCCTTCCCATGAACTTCAGAATGTTTCCGACATCCCTACACAGAGAGAGAGAGAAGAGAGAAAATTCTGTTGGACTCATGGCGATGGATTTCACACCCGGACTACAGAATAATGGAATATCCTGAGCTGGAAGGGACCCACAGGGACCATCCAGGCCAGCTCCTGGTCCTGCACAGACCCCCCAGCAATCCCATCCTGTGCCTGAGAGTGTTGTCCAAAGGATCTTAAAGCTCATCCCATTCCACCCCTGCCATGGCAGGAACACCTTCCACTGTCCCACACTGCTCCAAGCCACATCCAACCCGGCCTTGGGCACTGCCAGGGATCCAGGGACAGCCACAGCTGCTCTGGGCACCCTGTGCCAGGGCCTGCCCACCCTCACAGGGAACAATTCCTGCCCAATATCCCATCCTGCCCTGCCCTCTGGCAGTAGAAGCCATTCCCTGTGTCCTGTCCTTCCATCCCTTGTCCCCAGCCCCTCTCCAGCTCTCCTGGAACCCCTTTAGGCCCTGGAAGGGGCTCTGAGCTCTCCCTGGAGCCTTCTCCTCTCCACTTGAGCACCCCCAGCTCTCCCAGCCTGGCTCCAGAGCAGAGGGGCTCCAGCCCACGGAACATCCTCATGTCCCTCAGAGGCCTTTGTTGACTGGCAGTGACAAACAAGGTTTGGGTCCCATCATTCACACGACACACCTGAGATGCCCAGAGTTACCACGGGACAGTCCCTTGGCACAATCTATTTTCTTCCTGGAACAAATAAGAGAATTCTCTGTGTGATGTTCTGTGAATTCACCGCTCTCTGTGATGTTATCTCTGCTGTTGACTTATGAGGGTTCAGACCTTCCACCCTCCCCAAAATCAATCTGTTGGATTGCTGGAGTGGCACCTTTGTTATTCCTGCAAGTTCTGTGTTGTTCTCTGTGCCTTTGTGTGCTCACTCAGCCACATCTGCTCCTGCTGACCTCATTCAGAGCCAGCACAAGAGCTCTGTGAAGGTCTCAGTCAACAAGAGATCAAAGAGAAGGAGCAGCTTTAGAGCACACAAAGGCAAATTACACCAGACAGGAGGAAATTAGCAAAATGATTGGGCAGCAGGTTCAGAATAATCATAAATATTTCTTTTTCACCAACAAATATGCACCACACTTGGTACAAGCTTAAATTTATTTTTTTCTTAAATCTTCCAGAGGTATTAATAACCAAGCAGTTCATAAGCAAACTGAGACATGGATCCTCGAAGGTGTCAGAGAAGTGTCACTGGATGTGCCTTTCTGAAGGATCTGGAAATAACAGACCCTCCCATGATTAACCTGTCCCTCACAGTTGTCCTCTTCACCCTTTTCTTCTCCCCTTTCCCAGATTAAAGAAGTTCCTCTCCCTCCACTGATGTGCCACAGGCCCCTCACCACCTCAGTCACTCTGCACTGGATTTTCCAGGTTTTTTCCCCAGGTATCTCCCAGGAGAGGGGTTGGACTTCGATCATGAGTTACCAAAACTCAAAACTGCCTGGGCTAAATCACCTGAGTGACACTTCAGGCCCCTGCTGGGACACACCAAACTGTAGGGTATTTGCTATTTAAAGCAGCTGAATGCTAACAGGAATATTGGGATTCACTGTGTCACCTCATCCACTGGGAGAGCAAAGCAGAATATTTACTGATCTGGTCAAAAAGTGTCTTATCATGACAGGACTGAAAACAGCAATAAAGTACCTTTATCATTAATTCTGATTAGTGAAATATAGTGGAATATCCCTGACAGTGAAATATCCCAGGCAGAGGAGAACATAGGATTAGTCTTTCAGACTCCTGGGAAAATAAAAAAAATTAAGATCCTGGAAAGATCTAAGAGTATTCCTATCCCATAATAGACATCCCTATCCTGTGATGATAGCTTTTATCAGAACATGGCAGAGATGCAAATTATTTAATGCAGATTTTCCTTGGCTCTGCCGTTGCTTTTACAGCCTTTTTATTGCTTTTAAACCAAATCACGTCATCACTGGTACCTTCTCTGACCCTTTGGTTAAAATGTTACCCCAAGGACAATCTCATCTTTGTGTGCTCAGTGCTTGCTGAGCACTCCAGGATCCCTGGATTTGCATGGGGTGGGAGCAGAGCCCCACCCAGGGGTGACACCAGCCCCATTAACAGTGCCTCCAATCCTGCTGCATTTTTTCCATGAAAAGCACTGAAATTTCCTAAAAAAAAAAAAAAAAAAAAAATCTTCATTTGAAATAGCAAAAGCTTCTGTTCTTCTGTCTCCTAGGTGGGGGCAAGTCAGAAATTTACTGATATTAAACAAAAAGACAAAAAGAAGGGTGAGTGAGTGAGTGAGTGAGTGAGTGAGTGAGTGAGTGAGTGAGTGAGTGAATGAGTGAGTACCTAAATGGCCTGCTCAGAGAGGTGGTGGAGTCTCCATCCCTGGAGACATCCAAAAGTCATCCGGAAACAGCCCTGGGCACTCAGGTCACAGAGAGATGGGACTGGATCACCCCCAGTGTCCCTTCCAACCTCAACCACTCCAGGATTCTGTGAAGAAATGGGTTTGAGCCTCCACATTTTTGAGCATTTTAAAGGAGGGAAATGTTTTTGATGGTAAAACAAGTTCTTCTCCTGGTTGCCTCAAATTCTGGATTTTTCAATCTAGGGAAAACAAAAAAGACAAAAAAAGAGGGGGAAAAATTAGGACTACGACCAAAAAAGAAAATTTCTGGATAGAAGGGATACAGGAATGGGACTAGAGGGTAATGTGGGTGGGAATTGGAAAGAAACTATGGGATTAGGATTTTAAAAGGATCTAAAGCTGGTTGGTTGACAACACTGGTGACTAGTAGAGGAAGTCAAAACACAAAATATGAGAAATATGTACAAATTATAACTTTTAAACTAAGAAAGAATTGTCAGTCCAGGGAATTTTGAGCTTCAGCAGAATAGAAGGAGAAATGGGCATGGAAATCCCAAAAGGACCAAGAGAGTCATAGGGCAGGAATGAAAGAATAAGGAAAGCTGGGGAAAGAACCACATTATAGAATCAAGGAGGGGAAGAAAAACCAACCCAAACTCCAAAAATTAAAGGAAAGAGTCTGGGGGTGGTCGCAGTAGGAAGGACCAGAACTGGCAGCCAATAACTGAATACAAGGATGTATCAGGCAAGGCCTGGATGAGGCAGAAATTTGGAAGAGCTTAGCAGAGTGAGGAGAAAGGGAAGAGAAATCTGGGGGAAAGGTGAGGCAAATTTAAGAGAGAACAGGCACAAAAGTCTGTGCATCCAAAATAAGTGAGAAAAGGGGAAATCCCACCTTCCTGATGACTGTGGACATCAAAACACAGAATGACACAGTGACAAAGGGACAAGGGGAATCAGGGGCTGGGAGTGTCCAGTGCTGGACGGAGGGAAGAGCTATCAGTCTCTGCATTACCCAGCACTTCAAGAAGGTCTTGGAATTACAGAACTGATGGAATTTGTCATCTCAGTGCTCAACAGCCGGGGAAAAACTCCAGTGTTGGGAGTTGGCAATAAAGGAGTGTTATTTCTGCTGAGGTTCAGGCCTGGAGGTGTCAGGGCAGTACAGACCACACTGCCCTTCCTATGGGTCAGAAGGAAAGAGGGAATGATTCAGAAAGAATCCATAGATTATAAAGCCTAAAAACCCTCTGCATGTGCCCAGTGTGAACTGGGATTTGCCATGTGCTAGAGAAACCTGAGCATGTGTTAAGGAGGAATTAGTGTGTGGTTAAAGGATGTGGATGTCAAGTCTGTGGTTAAGAAAGATAATTCAGGCAATACTTTAATTAGCAGATGTTCAAGCTCCCTTCCAAGCTGCTCATTATTTAAAACACTCTGAAAGGAAATGGTGTCTAAAACTCTGAATCTACCCACCCACCATTTTGTTACACCCCTGACATAAAGTCCCCCTTCTTATCAATCAGCTTTCCCTCTGCGCAAACTTCCCAATGTGTCAGGGAGCTCTCTTGTCCTGGCCTAAAGTAACTTGTGTAATTCCCACACACATTCCATGGGCAGGATCACCCAAAGAAGAGCAGCTTTGGGCAGAGCTGCCAGCTGTGGCTGCTGTCCTCATGGACAGCCTCTTGCTCCTACCTCTGCTCAGTGCTTCCACTCCAGAATTTCCTCCAAAGATCCAATCTAAATTGCTGAAGGCCATCCCCCCCCCCCACCCTGTCACCACCTGCTCTTGTAAAAAGTTCAAGCTCTTCATCAGAAAAGGGCTTTGTTCCAAAAATGAATATTTGCCACCATGATCATGAAAAGCCTTTGAAATCTCTAAGCCTTTTTTTTTTTTTTTTGAAAATCTGTGGAAACCCAGGGCACTGGGAATATTTCTATGTCTGCTCTGGGTGTCCTGACCCCTAGGGGAGCACTGACTGTGACCCTCATTCATGGAGAAAGTTTCCTAGAATTTAAGATAGACTGGAATCCACAAAAGTGTGAAATAGATTATAGAGAGTAGTGTAGGTGTATCACTGGGTGAGAAATTTAGGTTTTGGGATTTTTAGTATGTTGTGGATGGAAGCAAGATGGAGGGCACAGGGTGCTGTCCTGGGTTTCTTCTTCATGCTTCTTCTTCCTCCATCTTCATGGGTTTGGATGGCATTTTGTAATTGGGCAGAAAAGTCTGCATTGGGGGCTCTGTGGGATCAGTTATTGGGTTAAAAGGGAAAATAATCCAAGTGTCAGTTTTTAATTAGCAGCTTAGTCTTAAAAGACCTTGTAACAACAGATAGTAAGCCATTTGTGCCTTGCTGCTGAACTCATGGTTGTGAGACTGTTTTACTGATAAGAAATAATAAACACCTGAGTCTGAACACGAACTACTGTCTCAAGTGCCTTCAATCCAGACCCAGAGAAACTGATAGAAGTCAGCCCTAAATCTCTTTTTAATTCCCCCCCACACCTCACTGCTGTACCCAGGAATGGGGCAGTTATAGTATACAGCAGCAGGAGAGCAGAAAGTTCCTTTTTCTCCCTTGCCAGCTGTACAATCTCTCTCCTGCAGCCCTGAGTTATCACCTCATATCAACAGAACTGGTTTGCACATGTTCTCATGAGCAAAGGGTACAGATAAATTTGTGGTGCTCAGTAGGGGCACTGTTGTGCTACCAGAAGTACCCTATAAATTTCAGCAAATTCTCCCAAAAAAGACATCACAGAAAATTATACATCAGTGGTCTTTGTGGTTTTTCCCTATTAAAACCATGTTAGTCCCTTAAAGGAGCAGAAATATACAGAATAACAGATATGGACATGAACACAGGCAAGTCCTAAATGCCAAAATTACACTAAAACTGTCCTGGGTCAGCACAGCCTGTATGTGCTTAAAACCTGATTATGGAACTGCACACCTGGGCATTCCAGGACATTGGAAGAGAATTCAGAACCAAGGTCAGGGCAGCTGGAGCAGTCAACAGACTGATGTAAGGAATCCCCTTCTACATCCTCACAGCTGTCCTGTCAAGTGAAATAGGGGTTTACACATTTAATGTTACTTTTCTAACATCAGTTCTGGATTTAGGCACCAGAGTCCTGGGATAAGGGTGCAGCTTTGGAGCATTGGCAGCCTTGTAGAACTTGGTTGCTGAGTTGAGGGCCTCAGATGGAGACAATAATTCAAGAGTTACAAGTAGGAAGGAAAAACTTAAAATCTCTGATACAGACTTGTGTTCCTTACAGGGGTCTGGGAAAGGGGCTCAGCCTGGAGCAAAGGAGGCTCAGGGGGCCCTTGTGGCTCTGCACAGCCCCTGACAGGAGGGGACAGCCCAGGGGTCAGGCTGTGCTCCAGGGAACAGGGACAGGAGGAGAGGGAACAGCTCAGGTTGGGCCAGGGCAGCTCAGGGTGGGCACCAGGAGGAACTTCCCCATGGAAAGGGGGCTCAGGCCTTGGAACTGCCCAGGGAGGTTTGGAGTGCCCATCCCTGGAGGTGACCAAGGAACACCTGGACATGGCACTCAGTGCTCTGGGCTGGGGACAAGGTGGGAAATCAGACAGAGGGTGGACTCAATGTTCCTGGGGGGCTTTTTCCAGCCTTAGTAATTCTGGGATACTGTGACCAAAAACTGGTTTTAGTTCAGGACACTATTAAATGATATATTTTATTCAGGGAAGCCCCAGACACATAACACCTTATATAAGCAAAAAACAAGTAAGCAAGAGTATCCTAAAACCAAATCTACCACAAAACCCCGCAATAACATTAGAAAAAATCCAAATTATTCCTAGCTTTTATTTCCTATACAGCACATAAACATGTGCAGATCCTTTCTTCACATTCTTGTCACCAATAAATAAAAAAACAGGCAATACTTTCATTTCAATGTGATTCCAGCACTGCAGTTTGGAATTCCTTCCTCCTAAAGGGAGTTTAAAGAATCTCAATGCACAATGAGGGGAGATTTCCTTTGCTCCACTACATTCATTCCCTAATCAGTACAAGGAACAGGCTGGTTTCTGGCTGTCAAAGTGTCCCTGAACACCAAGAATTCATCTTGAGTTACTTGCTGCAGTTCTGCTACAAACTCAGAGGTGCCACCTACAGACAGGTGGAGGGGAAAGGGATCCAACCCACTGGGAATGAGGGCTGGAAAAGGGAATAACCCAGTGCTGCTTTTGTGTGTACGGGAGCCAAATCACAGACAGGTATTAAATATTAAATCTTAATTGTTAGACATTAAATATTAGCTATTAAGTATTAGATATTAAATATTGGGTATTAATATTGCCTACTAAAAGGCCGCAGGAGGTACTGAGTTTCACGTAGGCAAAATAGTGGGAAATGAAACCCAGGGCATTTCCATTCCAGTGTCACCCAACTCCTGCAGCACTGGAACCTCTCAGAGGAGTCCCAGCCTCCTTGCTGGCAGATCTGCTCTGCTGGTGGCACCTGATCCAGGTGCTGCAGGACTGCAGGAATGTCCCCATGAGGTGGCAGCTGCAATTTGGCTGCAGTGGGAGATGGAGCCCAGAAAAACTGATGGGTGCAAGTACTATAGAAAGTGATCCTGCTATAGAAATGCACAAACTTCCCAGCTGGACATGCCTTGCGTGGGTTTTCCCACCTTCTCAGAAGCAGATGGTGCAGGCAGCACTGGCACAGATCTCACACAGGTTGTCCTCAGCAGCCAGGCCTGTCTGGGAGGAAGGAGGGATTCAGTCAGATGCCAGGAGAGCAGAGCCACCTGCCAAAGCATTTGGACACCCCTTTCCACTCCTGTTTTATTATTTTGAAGTCCCTTGAAGGTACCTCTGCTCTAAGTAAAATTAGCTTGGGCTAATACTGGCTTAAGGAATTAAATCAAAGCTGAATTCATTAGGATGGGAACAATTGAAGGCAAGAGGACAAGAGGACAGGGAGGATTTATTCCTAAACTGTCCCTTATACTGGACAGTAGATAAATGCAATATAATAATATAAAAAGCAAATACTGCAGCAGCAACAGGTCATGGCACTTTGGACAAGGGGGAATGTCTTCAGCTGAAGGAATGTAAATTTAGATGGGATACTGGGAGGAAATTCCTCCCTGTGAGAGTGGTGAGGCCCAGAGCAGCTCCCAAAATCTGCTTCCAAGTGCATAAAAATCTGCACCTACAAAAAGGTGCCAAGCACACTGGAGCTAAAGGTGCTTCAGGCACAGGTTCCCTGAGCTGCAGGGTAACTCTCCCAAGCCTGGCTTTGGGCTGCTTCCCCTGCACACTCTCTCCTGCACCCCAGCCATGCTGTTGGGAGGGGTTTGGGAGCCCCTCTGGGACCCCCCAGCCCCAGTGCCAGCCAGCAATGACACTGTCAGTGCCTGCAGCCCCCACACCAATCCATGTCACTCAGCAGGTGGTTCCTGAGGTGGCACTTGGGGACATTCAGGGGTGGCCTCGCCAATGCTGGGGCAGCAGCCGGATGTGATGGTCTCAAAGGGCTTTCCCAATCTCAGGGATTCCATGGGGCATTCAGGGACTGACCCAGCCATCCAGACAGGCACGAGAAGCAGTTACACATTGTGAAAAACACTCTCCTGTGAAAATTTTAAAAGTTTAATAAAAGCCAACGGTAGACAAAGACAGAAAAGCAAGGATTATGGCCCAAGAGCACACTGCTATCTTCAGGGATACCCCTTAAATACCTTTTCCCTTACATCAGCCTGGTGCATATTCATAGACCCTTATGCATAGTAAACTTTTCCCCAAACTAGTTTACATGTTCAAGAATTGTTTAGCATGGGTCCTCCTTGGATCCACCTTTTTAGGGCATGGGTATTCCTTGGGTGTGGTTTTAGTCCATTCTTATCACCTCCAGTTTTTGGGCCTTGCTCCACTCTGCCTTCAGAAAATGAGTGCTGATAGTTGGCAGATCTGTACAGGTGTCCTCATCCTGTGTGCATTGGATGTTATCCCATCCAAGCAGGCATTTTTAGCACAAGCATAGCTATTTCACTACTATGTCTAAGCTTAATTAACAACAGAAATAAAAACTATATCTTTATAGCAAAGTTATTTTAACACCACACCTATAAAATCCATTTTAATATTTGCAAAAAGCCAATATTATAATATGTATCTATAACACACATAGATTATACTGCCAGGAGCCAGAGCACCTCAGCGCATCATTAAGAGAGCACATAAAGCAGGAAAAACACACCCAGTTACACCACTCTCTGGCTTGCAAGTGGGGCATGAACATCACTTCATCCTGATCTTGGCAGCCCCAAGAAAAGCAACTATTAAGGAGGCACTGACAATGCCATTTGCCTGACACTGCTGCCCCAGAGCCACAGCCCAGCAAGTCTCTGGTAGTCTGAAGTATTTATGTCATTCAGAAGCTGCACACCCCTAAAGCAGTGCCTTGGGAACACACAGTTTCCCAGGTGCCTTTTATAGTCCAAGCTGTATTTCCAGCACATTACAAGATGATTTAAATCAGAATGAGGTCACTGGGAGACAGCACAGCGTTGGATCAGGCACATCAGGAGACTTGCCAGGCAATATTCTCTTGTGGGCCCTTGATGCCCAAAATCTAGGCAAGAACACGGTACCCCATAGGAGGCCTACAGAGCAGGTATTTGTTTACTGGACACTGGGAGTGACGGGGATGGCTCCACCACAAACTCACTGCTCCGTTCTTCGCACAGCACTAGCTTTTATACTTTTTTACTTATGTGCACATTATACTTTCCTAACCTTCATGATGTAACATATTTTCTGATCACATGATTATTATGTAAGGCCTTGCAGCACATGAGCAGTTTCTGCACGAGATGGTTGTCAGCCTCCTGTGGTTGTTTTTGATGAAGGGCCAGAAGTCT